AGACTGACAATCGTGTAAGAGTGGTTGATGGGACTTTTTGATATATACAATACATGTAAATACATACTGTATATTTCCAGAGTATAAATCTAAATGGATCTGTAATAGTAAGCTAAGACTTCAGCCTGTACACTTTTCGGTCTTGTTTTGATTTGATTTGTGTGAACCAGTTTCAGCTTTAAGGATCAAACAGCAGTGGAGAGAAAAGGACTCTCTCAGTTATTGGTTTAGTTGTTCGAGAGTTTGTTGTGTTATCGTCCTAAAGTTCAACAGTGTGTGAGTCCCGTTTCTTGTTTTTGTTAATGTGAGCTTTGAAATCAGAATCAGTTGGATGAATCGATCCTTCCTCTGTGATGTAGAGCAGGAACTCTGGTCTGGATCTCTGGTATTGTCGGTACCATTGGATATTGTAGATACCACCATCATATTTACAGGTCAGGTTGATGTTTCTTCCCTCTGCAACATGTTCTTCAGTATTTTCTGGGTGTTGTAGTGGGGAGTGGTGGGTGGGGGTTCATGGAACCAGGGCTCAAAATGAGTATTAATTCCATGTCAGTTAGTCTGCAAGAGATTCTGACATCAGCAGACTCAACAGAAGTTATTTTTCTTTCATCGTTGATCAATTTTAGATACATTTAATAAACCAAATGTATTTTTCTACCATGGAAATTATAACCTTACACAGATAAANNNACACTCACCTATAAAGTGAGAGAAAAGTAAAAAGAGGTAAAGCAACATGTCTTTGGAGTTGTTAAAGTCAAACAGACAGCAGATGAGCAATGTTCTTCCACTGCAGTAGAATGAAAAAACTAAAGAGCCTCTCTGCTGCACAGCCCTTCTCCTCAACATCAAGCTGATTGTGCTTTTAGTTCCTCAAACATTTCTGCTGGGGCTGCAGAGCCACAGTAGTACCAGCAGAGTCTGGTCACTTTAGCTTGAGATGACTCTCCACGATTACACATTTTCTTCGTTTTGTTAATGGGTGAGCTTTGAAATCAGAATCAGGTTGGATGAATAAATCCCTTCCTCTGTGATGTAGAGCAGTGAAGCTCTTGGTCGTGGATCTCTGAATATTGTCGCGCTACCATTGGATATTGGCTAGGATACGACCAGTCATATTTACAGGCAGGTTGATGTTCTGTCCCTCCTGCACAACATTTTCTTCAGACTTTCTGGCTTTATTTTGATTGTTCATGGGACCCCAGGCTTTGCAAAATGCAGTATTATTCAGTGTTTCAGTTAAAAGAGACTTCTCGACATCAAACGATTCAACAGAAGGTTATTTTTATTTTTTGGTTTCTTGTTTAAATTGGAAATTGTTACCTATACACAGATAAAGCTCTACTACCAAATGTCTGTTAATTAACAGCAGGGGGTCTAAATGGGAGAATATTGATCCCTGTTTCTAACCATCACCTATAAAGCTTGAAGACAGAAACAATCTCATTGTTGAGTTCAAAATTCAGTGGGAGGGCCAGAGAAAATCCTTTTTACAGATTCTCTGCCTACCA